TGCTGCTTATTAGAGATGCTGTCTTTCCTCTGATCTAGGTGTTTAGTGCCTTTATTAAGAGCCAGTGAGACGTATGTGTGAGGGTTTATTTCTGGGCTCTCGATTCTGTTCCTTTAGTCTCTGTAGTGTTTGTTTGTCTGCCAGCGGCGTACTCCTTTGGCCACTATGATGATGAATCCACACATCATTTCTTTGATTTTTATTTGTGCTTCTTCCTGACTTTCCCTCTAGAGAAGATAGATGCTGTTTGAGTTTCATGGGTCTCCATTGGTGTTATTACTTCTTTCATATTTCTGATGAAAGACTTGAACAGAGCACTGTCAAAAGAAATGCAATTTGAAGATTTATTTCTAGCTTCACTTTTTGCTATCCTTTGTGCCTCTCATTAGGATGGATCAATAAGAATAACGCATATCTATTGAAGCTTATATTTGACTGATAAAGTAAGTGACATTTATTTTGTGCTATCTGTTCACCTGTGATAACAGACAACAGATGGTTAATGATGCCTAACTGGTGTGGCTCAGACTAAAAACATTATTCTGAACTCAGAATAACTGGATCAAGCAGAGGCATACAGTTAGTGCACTCATCCATTATTTAAAAACAGTGAGCATAACAGCTGCTGCAGGACGAAAGTAAACAAGTGTGAGTGTTGCTACTTTGCCATTATCATGACCATGCTTTAGGCTCTGCCCAGTTTTTACCTTAGAACCCAGTTCTGTCCATTTACAGAGTTATTGGATCCTATATATTTTAGCTTATACTGTTGAGAAAATATTTTATTAATAACTTTTGTTATGGTTTCTAATTGTTCCCAAGTGCTGGCTGTCTCACAGGAAAGGCAAATGGGCTTCTTGTTTCTCCCCCCAGGCTCTGCATGGTTGCCTCTGGCTCATGGGAAAGATGAATTGGCTTCGTGTTTCTCCCCCCCGGGCCTCACATGGCTGACACTGGCCTCAACTCATTTAATGAGATGTTTTATGCATACTTCAGTAACAAGACAAATAAAAGCATTTCAAATAAGTCTTAATTTTATACTCTTATACACTAAGTCCCTAACTTATGAATAGTTGAGTTTTGAACTTTCACAAATATGAAGGGACCTCACATTATGAGGCTCCACACGAGTTGCAGAAGTAACTCACATGTCTGCAGACGGTTGTGCTACTGTGTGGCTGCTATACGGTGTAGCAGTGCTCAATCAGAACCCAGGATGTCTGGAAACAAGAGGAAATGCAGTGACATGGAAGGTTGGCTTTGTTTTCTTGTTTGTTTGTTTTTATACTTTACATCGTATACTTGCATCAAAGGTTCATACTCACTTTGTCAGACTTACAAATGAATCCCCACTTACAGTCCTGGAATAGAACTCTCTCCTAAGTCCAGGACTTACGTTATTGAATGTCTAGATTAATCATCACATATGTTTTGATTCTAACAAATAGTTATTCATTTGTTAATTCTAAAACATTAAATACATGAAGGCAAGTATCTCTTTTCTCTTAGACCTATTCTCTGAAATTACTGTTTTAAATTGACTGTAAAAATTCTTTAAATTGAATGCTGCCACAGTGTAAGACAGAAAAGAGGACTTCTGTTTATATAACCCTGGAAAATAACCTGATTTGCTCTTTATCTATCATTCTCTTTATAAGCTATAGTAGGAAATATTGTGGAAGACACTATAAATTCCACTTTAAATGGCTATTCTGGCTGTCTTTCATGAAATCAATATAGTGACTTTTCTTTTCCTAGTTTAAACAAGCACAGCAATTTATTATAATAAGAACCAGGCTGTGTTCGGCTCAGTCATTGACTTTCCACTTAGATATCTAAGGTAAAGAGTGAGATGCTACAAATATTAAAAGGGATGTTGCATCCTATTAAGAAGCTTGCACAACCACACAGGATTATTTCACTGAAGTGTTTTCTCTTGATCTTCAAGGCCCTGACTGTTATTTTTCTCTACCCTACTTTTCATTACCTTAATTTTGTGATAACTCAGTTGGTTTCTTCCTTCCCAAAATCTGTCCTTAAAAACCACTTTTCTTGCCCACTTCCACTATTAAAACTGGAAAGACCTAATAGCAGCATTTTAAAACATACTCACAGCTAGATACATTCACGTGAGAAAATTTCAGACAATGAGATGCAGGGGACATGTTTTCAGGGTTTCTCTGATTAAAAGAAGAATGTGAGCCTGCCTAACTGGCTGGCAGTAACTCCAGTTCTGTGCCCTGGACCACCTTTCACCCCTGCTGTGAACTATGTGACCTGGAGCCACAGTGGTGATCTACAGGACCAGGATGCTTTACCCTACTCAAGTACTATCTCAGATTTCACTCTTCTATGATTGAAATGTAATGTTGAGTGTATTGTTTATAGCACTCACAATCTTTATTTACCACTTATTAGCTCTGCACTTTTAGGTGAATTTCTGAACCCTGATTACCACATCAACAAAAGGGAATATTTTAAAAATCTACTTTGTTGAATGTTACATAAATCAGATGTAAATTATGTAAAGCCAAGTACGTGATTAGAGTTCAACAGATGGTAGTTATCGCTGCTACTTAAACTCCTGAGTCTGTTCGTCACATAAATTTATTATACACCTATATCACACAACCTTTCGCATCACTGCAGAGATCTGGAGAATCCCCAAGCTGCTTACATTACATCACTTTCCCAAAATCCTGTGAGGATTGTCTCTCAGTGCCATCATGCCCAGTGTCTCCATCCCTCATCCAAGAAAGGAGCAAGTTTAACTTGAAGGACCAGAGCTAAGGGAATTAGCTTTACATAATGAATGTCTTTGGCGGAGGAGAGGCTTGTTTGTACTTTCTCAAACTTTTAGTTTTCAGATAATTGTAGATTCATTGTACTTGTAGAACATAAAAGAGGGTTTGCATATCTTGTAGCTTTTATTTTTCAATAAATTAGTCCATTTCATGTAATTTGTCAAAGTTGTTTATTCAGAATATTTATGACACTGCCTGATTATCCTTTTGCTATGTGTAGAGACTATAGTGACATCCTTTGTGATGCTTGGAGTTTGTATCTTTCCTTTATTTCTTTCTCAAGTCTTGTTAGAATTCCATTTTATCAGTCTTTTTAAGGAATTCCCTCTTTCTTATATTGTTTTTACACTTTCAATTTCTTTGATTTTGATATGTTGTACTTGACTGCCACTTTGTTCAATGTATTTTTAAATTTTCTCTCGACCTTTCCTCTGGCTTGTGGACTATTAGGAAGTGCTTTTACTTGGTGTCTCAGTGTTTGGAGACTTCTTTTACTATCACTCTATGAAAGATTTTTAAGTAGGCTTGTGTGCTCAGAAAACATATTTTTGTAAGACTTACAATCTTTTTAAATTCACTGGCATTTGTTTCATGTCCCAGAACGTGGCCTGACTTGGTGTCAGGTCCTTTGAATAGAATGTATATTCTGTTATTGCATGGAGTGGTCTATGTAACGTTGATTAGATGATAATTGTAAGATAATTAGGTAACGATTTTTAGAGTATTCTGTGATCTTGCTGATTTTCTATCAAGAAACATAAAAGTCTTCAGCTTTTGTGTACTTGTCTATTCTTTCAGTTTTGTCAGTTTTTGTCTTACATATTTTGTCACTTGTTCTTTTAGGCATGCAGGTTTATTATTACTATATATTTTCGGTGAATTGACTCTTTTATCAATATATAATGTCCCTTTTGTTCTCCTGTAATGTTGTTTGTTCTTACATATTAATGAACATATTTTTGCTTTTCTTTGTCTTGTTTGTATAATACATCTGTTTTTTTAAAACCTTTGTGTGTGTATGAGAAAGGGAGAGAGAGAGAGAAAGAGAGAGAGAGAGAGAGAGAGAGAGAGAGAGAGAGAGAGAGAGTTTTATCATGCAGTTCAGGTTGGCCTTGAAGTCACTTCGTAGCCCAGGCTGGCCTCTTGCAGTAATCTGCCTGTCTCAGCCTCCTGAGTGCTGGGATTACAGGCATGTACCGCCACACCAAGCTCTTTGAAATGTTTTGCTCTCAGCCTCCATACTTTGGTATTTTGAAGTAATTTTCTTAGAGAAAATATATCTTTACAACATGTATCTTAACCTATACTACTAATCTTTGTCTCCTCACTTGTGTCTCCAACGCTTTGTATTTAATGTAATCAATGATATGTGAGAACTTTAGTCATTCTTTTTATTATTTTTAATTTTCATCCTTATTAATTTGTCTATTTTTTCTTAGCCTCTTTTATATTAAATGTTTTTAAAGAGCTTATTTTTTTATTTAAAGTGTACTTTAGATATATCTCTACATATTTTAATGATTGCACTCAATATATATATGTAAATATATTGTCTACTACATTTTTATTTTACACATTTTATCAAAGTATATAAGTCTTACCTCTTTTGTAACTCCTTTTTACCCATTTTCCCATTTAAAATATACTGAACACTTAACATGCCTCTGTGACACAACACACTTTTGAAATAATAATTTTTAACAACTTACCTCATTGGCAGTGAAACAGCTGGATAATATATGGGCCCCTTCACGTGCCTCGATTGGAGAAATAGCAGTTACATGGTTCTCTATATCTGCAGGGGTTACAACTGCAAGACGAAAGCTTTCCTCACTCAATCACAGGAATTATGGAAACTATTGAGATCACCCCTTTCCTTGTCCTTAAGTTGAAGAATCAATTATCATTATCTTATTGTTCCATTGATTACCAGAATTTATTATTGAAAAAAATTTGTGTTATCATTAACTTATTTTAATAGAATTTCAAAATTATATCAGCTTTTCTATTACCTCAATAACTAGCTTTCTTAAACAAGGCCATAAAAGTTTTGCATTATTTTTGAAAAATATAACTTTCATTATTACCAAAGATTACATGGCATTTACTTACCTAATACATTCTTATATACTGCACTGATGAGTTTCTATATAAATAACTGAACCAACGAAAAATTTTCTTTTCATTTGAAAACAGAATGACATTGAAGAGCTCGATGGCATTTTTACATCCATATTCAAACAAGAAATACCGTATTATGACTTCCACTCTCTTCAAAGTGAAATTTGCCCTCAAAATGAATGTAAGTATCTTTGAACTGAATCCATTTTTATTATACTATATTCTACCATATGTGATTTTTTAATAAATGTAATAGCCAAGAATATAACTATTAAATATTTTAGACAACTCCCAAATTATAAGGCACGATAACACTAAGACAAACTTATGAAGAAAGCCCAGTTAGTCATTTCCCCCCACAGGATGTAACAATACAAAACTTTGAAATTGATTTTTATTCTAAGTAAACATCTGAATTTATTTAGATGGATGTCTTTCATCGTATCATTGTTTATAATATATTTTATATAACTATCTTTCAAAGATATATGATTATGTAAATTTTAATATAGTTACTAATGTAACTGTTAGTAATCAATTTTATGATAAATTTACTTGCCAGCTGAGGTAATGTTTTGATGTATGCTTAATTAAATAAAAATAAGATATCTAGAAGTGGCATGTTATTTGCTATTTTAAAAAGTGTAAACATAGCATAAATTATGTATATAAGTTAGTAGTCCACACAGATGTGTACCTAGTACTCTCAGTAGTTGTTTTTAGGTTTTATAATTTCAGAGAATACATTTTTTAATTTTACTGAAACTGTATTTTCTAAAATAACTGTATATTGTTATTTTAACTACTTATGAGTAATCATATTTCTAAATATTATAAGACCAGTAGGATATTTTAGAAACTTTGTTTCTGTTTAGTTTACTGAAATATGCTTATAATCCACTTATATGTCAGCACATGTGAAACACTGCTCTAAAAGAAGTCTAGTATTAGCACCTTCAGGACAAATAGGCAGTGTTTTACTGTTCCCACACTGTGTAATACAATTTTGTCACCAGCCTGGCTAGCTACAGGGCTCTGGGAAGGAATGAGTAAGAACCTAAGGTACCAATGATGCTGATTCACCCAAGGGGCAAGGAGCTGGGCAAAGCAACAGTATCAGAGAGAGAAAAGCCACTGGTGATGTGTTTTGAGTAAGTACACTAAGAGATTAGTGAAAATTGATTTCGTATCCCATTCATATTTTAACACTATATAATTCATTTACAAAATTAGATATTGGACTAGGATAGAAAAGGAGTGGCATAATTCCTGACTTAAGGCCATTATAACTTAATCGAGGACATGAGATAATGCACAGGTAATGAAACAATGTAAATTTGGGTGTAATTGTACTGATAACAGAATTGTAGAACTTAAGACATGTTTCAGAAAGAAGGTGGGAACATACCTAGGTCTTAAATGACGGGTAGGATCCCAATGAGGAGGAAGAAATGAAAAGCTAATTCTAGGCAACAAAGTGCGTACCAAGGTATAAAGATGACACAACTTTTACCAAATTCCTGCAAATTATACTTCTATTTAAGCTTATGAAATTAGAATTGTGGAACTAGAGAAAAAGGACTTGTTCTATTCTCTCATTTGTTCAAGTAAAGACTTTGAGATCAGTTTGAAAGTTCTGCATAGAGGAGGAGCAGAGTTTCCAATGTGCCATAGTCTGAATCGGAAAGATCCCCAGAGGCCGGTACTTCAGGGTCACCTCCCAGGGCTTGCACTGGAAAGAGATAAGGTTTAACAGGCCTTTTTTGGCACTCCTATCTCCTATTTTGTCTCTATCTGTCATTCCTGGACTTGGGGTGAACAGGATTTCTCCAGAACACTCTCTTTCTCCCATATTATGCTGTCCCACGCTTAGCACTGGCCCAGAGGCAGTGGGCCCACCATACATGGACTGCATCCTCCAAAACCATGAGCAATGACAACCTCTTTCCTTTATAAGGGGATTAAATCAGGCATTTGATAATGGCAATTGACTACTACAAAAAGGATGGCACGGTTTGGGCCCTTAATTTTAACTTTATAATTGAAGGATTCCGATGGGATAAATTAGAGTCCTTAGAAATGTGGGGTGCATATTTTCAATGTCTGCCTAAGAGTCTCTGGGGAAGATGCTATTGTTGACTATGTATCAGGGTTTCAACTTTGGTTCTTTATTGTAGTTGCTTCCTGGGCTCACCTGCAGAGTCTGGGAAGTATCCACGCCTCAGCCACACCTGTGCAAATCTGTGAGAAATCTAGGGCAGGTGCAATATTGATAGATTGTTTCCTAGGCAACTCCACTAGGCATTTATGTTTGCCAGGCCAGTCTTAGTTACTTTGCTCACTACTGAGACAAAATACCCAATACCCACAAATTAAAAGGAAATGTACTTCAGTTCACATGTCATAGTCAGTGGCCTCCAAGGCAATGTGGCATAGCACGGAGGCATCGTAGAGGATAAATGGTCCATGGCAGGGCAGACAGGAGACCATGCAAGTGCAAGCAGCAGCAGCACCCTGCCTCTTTCTGACCCTTTCCATCCCATCGAGACTACAACTCTATTGATTTGTGCCCCCCACACCCAGGACTGGACTTCCCTTATCCACACAATTTCATTATTACACACTTACTCCACATTGACATACTGAAATTCAGGTATCTCTGAAATTCCTCACCTATGAATGCATGAGGCTTTGAGGGAACTTCTAGAAAAAGGCTATAGCGGGGCCCTACCTGCCTCACTGTCTTATAGACCAACAAATTCACACAGTTTTTACATGAAGAAAATATTAGTTCTTTGCAAAGGTTAGAAATTTGGTAGCTCATGAAGCTTCAAATTACTATAAGAATCTGAAGATAATTCTGTATTTGAATTTTTTCATAAAATATAATTATACTTGTTTTAAAACTAAAAATAGAAAATTCAATATAATGAGTTAATTTGTCTGGAAAATTTATTGGTGGGTATTGTTTAATAGAAGATGCTACTAAGTCTACAAAACAACCAACAACTCTCATAATGTTAAGCTCCAATTCCTACCTAAAATGCAAAATAATCTAACACAAGACACCTAAGAAAAATACAGCAAGATGAATGTGAATGTGACTAGTCGTATTTTCCTGCATACCTGAATGTGCAGATACAAACAGATAAAGTTAAACTAACATCAAAGAGATTTTATCACACAGTGATAAATACTGCAAAGCATAAATTATATGGACCATTTCTGTTTGCATTTTAAATTCCCTGGGAAGATGTTCAGATGTCATGAAGTAATCGATGTAAAGGAAAAAATGGGTAAGAATATTCCTCATTCTGGGAGGAGAAGAAACACATGATAGAGAAAGTTGTGATTATATGAACTCACTTCAAATTATTAGCAAACGCAGTACTTGTAAGAAGGTATAATAAATTAGGGACAAATGTACGTATAGCACAGGTTCCAAATTTGTTACATAAATTGGAGATTTGATCTGTAAATAGACTAAAAATTTTGAACTTTTATATTTTTGTTGGTTTATTTTTTTTGTTAGCTCAACCCACAAGAACAAATTTTCACATCTACCAATGACGCTTTTAGCATACACTCAAGCCAATTTCATGAACTAGTTCAATTTGGATCAAACAATAAAACAAAACAGTCACTTTGAATCCTTTAAAATAGTTCTTCACTTGAGTAATAGACATCTTCAGAATTATACTACTGCTACTCTTTACAGTGTTTCTCTAGAGATTATCTATTTCTCCAGATGCAAAGTTTGAAAAATTATGCTTACATACATCATAACTGTGATTAGAGGGTAAAAATATAAAGTAGGTAGGCAGGAGGGAGCGAGAGGAAAGAAGTGAAGAGCATTTGTGAGAAAAGCGGCTGATCAGAGGTGTCGAGTCCTACTCCAGAAAGCAGACGTTGGAAAAGGTCACGACATCACTTCTGACTGTAGCACAGATTATTAATACCAAAAATGCCCCCGTGGTCTAGGTGACACCAATTTTTGCACCAACATTATCATGCCACTCATCTGGGTTCCCCTGAAACTCGGTGTCAATCCATAGTGTTTATGGAACAAATACTGGGAAGGTAAAATTTATAGTTTTAACTACGTTTTTAAATACCTAAAAAGACCACCAAATATTTAATGGTAGAGAGGAAGCCAGCTGCCTCAGACAATGAGAAGTGTTAATGTGCAGGAGAAAAAGAGCTCAAACCAAAGGAAACAGAAAACAAGAGGACGGTCAAATAAAGACTCAACTAATTGCTGCTCGGCTCATTTTCCAATGTAGTGAGCCTCAGTCTGGTTTGGTCCGTATCCGCCCACTGCTTTAAATATCCCCCAACTCGGTATCAGATCACTAAGATTGAGGTGACATGCATGCATATTGGGAAATGCATGAATAAAAGCCCATAAGACAAATTATGCACAGGTCCATGTAAATGCAAGGGACAGAGTAGGGAATGAGTCAACACCAGTGTGGCAGACTGGCTGAGAATGAAAGGTGCTTGGGAAGGGCTGGGTCAGAAGGCGTACCTCATACAGAACAAATGAGACCCCAAAGCTCCTGCACTTGTCTGCACTGTCCCTTACACACCCACACCCCACTCACTAAACAGAGGGTGCAGAGCTCTGGCAGGGGACTTTCATGAACTGTCAGCTTCCTATGCATCATGTTCACATTATTAAGAATAAATACCATAGCCCTGGGAGGGTTTTCTTTTTTTTTTTTTTTTTTTTTTTTTTTGTCTTTGTCTTTTTCTTTTTCTTTTTTATTGGTACCGGGGATCGAATTCACAACTGCCTGCTTGCAAGGCAGACGCTTATGCCGCTGAGCTAAATCCCCAGCCCCCTGGGAGGGTTTTCTAAATAGAATTTCGTGTCCACTCTTTTGCCAAATGGTAAAAGGGATGTGTCACACATTCAATATTGGTCCCCCTGTTACAGAACAAGACAGTTTCAAAAACCCAGAAATGCTATATTTTAAATATGCGTGGAAATACTAACATTTTATGAGATTCCAAATCATAGTGTGAAAGAGGTGGAAATCGTTACTTTTCCTCAACATTTGGAAATACCATCTTTCCCCTCCAATTGCTTTTTGTTTACTACCCAGAGAGTCTGTTGGCAGAAGCACTCTGTGGCCAGGCATCTAGTACAGAGGAAAATAAACATTGCCTGGAATAAGCAGCAAATTTTTCACATATTTGTCAATTTTTACCTTGATAATAAAAACAAAGGCAATTTATCTTAATTAATTAGATGAAAACTGCTATAATCAAAAGAGGTTATACACTGCAGATTAAGCATACTTTAAAATGTTCTTGTATTTTTTTTTAAAAAAATCATGACTTACATCTAACAAGTAAGACCAAAGCAGATATACTGAGCTTAAGAAAGTGATTAAATAACTTATGAACTGACAGGAATAGAAGTTCTCATCTTGGCTAGGATGTAGGGCATCACAGGAAACTGTTGTTCTTTCTATATTGAGAACAAACAAGATGATCTTCAAAAACATGGTTTCCTTTGTGAACCCAACAAGAAACCAATTCCTTTGTGAGCCCAGCAAGAGACAAAAGAAACACAAATGAACTGAATTCCAGAATGTGACAGAACCTTCATAAGAGAGAGAAAAATCATCACTGCATTCATTCCTGATGGAACAAGACAGACAGAACTCACCATGATGGGTAGAGAAGGAGGCTTAACACTTAGCAAAGTTTTACTAGGTACGTGTAAGGCACTCTGCAAAGAACAGGAATCCCAAGGAACCCAGTGTCCAGGGCAGGCTGCAGCACTGCACAGCTCTCTTCTTCAACAACAGAGCACACCCACAGCTACTGAACAAGCAGGAAGGCTGAGAGACTTCCCTGATGGCCAGGTGCCTGCTAGACAACAGGGTCGTGGAGACCAAACTCCCCACTGCTTTTACCACAGGGACAGCAGCACCACCCAGGTCCTCGACAGAGACAGGAAATCTGCAAGGAAGAAATTCCTCCATGCTATCAGGAGGACAGTAAGTGTCTGCCTTGGGTGACGGGACTGCAGAAGTCTGGGAAAACCTGAGACTTTTTTTTTTTTTTTGGAAGGAGTCTGGATGGAGGACAGCATAACAAAAGGCACTATCTCATGACCCAAAGAAAAACTGATATCCAGTCTGTCAAGCAATGGAGATCTCACAAGGGCTCAGATCTTTTTCTTTTTTAGCCCACCCCATAGAACTCAGATCTTAACCTGTCCTGAAAAGAAGCATATGATTCTACCTGTAAAACCCCTGAAGTCAGTCATCACTAAGTCTAAGTAAAATCATTGAGAAAACAAACTGAGTTTACCTACAAATTAACTCAACTCACCACTCACTGGAGTTGTCAAATGAAGAAAGGGTATGCTTTCTTGTGGGAATATTAATTACTTTAGTCCTTCAATACAATGCAAAACATTTAGAAGAAAGTAAACATAAGAAAGAAAGACATGGTGATCCATAGTCAAGGAAAGAAACAGTCAAAACAAGATGAAGGAAATGCTCCAAATGTTGAAATGATCGGAAAGGAATATTAAAAGATGAAACCCAGCTCATCGATTTGACTCATCTCTGATTCACACTCTATAGAACACTCTATAATCTAGTCCGTGTCTAATTGACTTTCCTGAGCAAGGTGAGAAAGAATGAAGTGCAAGAAACATTTGAGAAAATAATGGCTAATCATGATCTAAATTTGATGAAGGACATCAACAAACATTCAATAAATCTTGCAAAACCCCATCAGAATACCTAGGCATGTATATATACACATCTACTTAGATATGCTGGAAAACCAAGTTAAAATAAAATCATAAAATAGGCTGAGGGCAGTACGTGGAAGAATATTGAGAAAACCCCTGTATACAATGAAACAATGCTAAGAAGGGCATCTGGTTTCTGAAATGGAGAGACCAGAAGACAGTGAAACATAAGACACAATACTGAACATTTCTACTTGTATAAACTCTCCCAATCAAAAAGCACATATACATTCATACAAAGTGGTTGAGCCCGAAGTGAGGGACTAACTACAAGGAAACATAAAAACCCCTCCACGGCAACAGGAGCAAACTCGCTTTGGGCTGTGTTAATACAGCTGCACACCATTGTCAAAACACATCAAACTCATGAACATTGTAGTTTTAAGCATCAATTATACTTCCATGAATTGTTAAAAACTGAGTGGAGATGTAAATACCTTTAAGCCAACACCATTAATGATCATGGAACTTACAGTTTAACCCTAAAGATCAAAGTCAAGTCCATCATAACTCAGAGTAACAGGTACACAATTAGATCAGCACCCATTCTCCTGCATGAATGGGTGCCCAGAATGCAGAGCCACCTCCCAGCAAGGCTTCTTCAAGGAAACCCAGCTACTCATCAGGCTTTCTGGTAGATTCTTAGGGAAGCTCAGTATTAGAATGATGTTCTGTTACATTGACTTGAGGGAGAAATACTCAGAGAGGCTGATAAAGTTAAAAGGTGAATATGTTTCTATAATAATTATTTATGTAGTGAAAAAAAAACCAGAGGTGCGTTTACAGTGACTTAATAATTCACAAGAATAGTAGCTAGCAGGAACATTGCATAAAGTACTAATCAGCCAGTAATGGTGCTTTTAATGTATTTTATAATGTAGCAAGAATGTGGTGATCACATTCTGACACTCTCATGTAAATATTTTCTTTATTAACTTTGATCTGGTTTAACTATACAGAAACTTTTATATGTATAATGCACTTAAATTCAAAAAATATAAAATTATATTTTCGTATCTTGTATTGGTCAACTTCTGAAATAAAATACCTGACACCACTCAAAAGAGGAGAGATCTACTTGAGTAATATTTCAGAAGGTCCAGTCTATGGTCAGCTGACACCAAGCAGAAATAAAGCCGCAAAAAGGCCTGGAGGAGGACAGCTGCCCAGCTCCTGGGATTCAGGAAGCACAGAGAACAGACAGAGCCAGCGGGGAGAGACTCCCACCAAAGACTTAACCCTGGGGACCTTCCTCCTCCAACTTCCCCACACCACTGCCAGCTGTGAACCCATCACAGGAGGAACCCCCTGCTGAGCACAGCACCCATGATCCAATGTCCCTTCATACGCCACCTCTGAACACAGGAGATTTGGGGGATTTTTAGAGCGGAAGCATAACACAGCATTTCAAGAAAACACATTATTTTTATTCTGAAACTTGGTACCTGCCATAAATAGTGTCACCTTCCACCTATCCTAATGAAAACTTGGTAATCGTCCTGCTGCACCCCATGCAGTAGGGACAAGTACATTTCTGTTGCAATATGCTGAGAGCCACCTACAGTCATCCAGTTTTAACACATCTTTCAAGGGTAGACTATTTTCCAACAGTGAGTCCTTAACGCGTCTTGAAGGGGTGTTTGTTTGTTTTGTTGTGTTAAAACATAAAAACCAACAAACTAAATTTACCCAGTCTTGAAACACAAGTTAATTAAAAACTTAAGGTTTAATTCTAGCTTTTTTATGCTTCTTTGCCTTTCTTTTTTTTTTCTTTTTTTGATCTAAAAAATAGCAGAGCAGTACATAAAGCCATGCATATTCAGCTTTTCAAAACTGTGAGGTGGCAAATTTCTATTGCTGTGGAATTGTACTAGAACCGACTTGTGCTTTGATGTGTTTGTTTCTCTTACTGTGAGTCTTCACATTCTTCCCCTAATGCCACAGTTATTGAATTCATGTGTAATTTCCACCTTTCTTTTACAGCTATGGGTGAAAATTTAAAATAATAAACCATCACTCATGTTTTGCTTTGCTATTGAGATAGCAGTTAACCTTCATCTTACGATTTTGCAGTTAATACATCTTCCAACTTATGCCATTACAACTCAATGTCTAAAATACTGATATTAAAATTCTAAAATCCCGATGTAAGTATCTGTACTGAAGTTGCTTGTAAAAGTGTTCATCTATATTTTCTGTGTGTTTTGCTTTTGAAAGAGGGATTTGTTGTCAAAATCTAGACTAAGCCCCACAGGAACTTCATGTAAAATTCAGAAGGAACCAAAGTAGGCAGGGCAGTAGAAAACACGAAATGATTTTGTAAGTGAATTTACAGGATTTTTATATTTGGTTCAGCTAATGTGATGGTCCATTCAGAAGGCATAATTACAGCGTAATATTTCTGGTCTGCTTTACACTTAAGGGGCTAATGTGGCTTTTTATGTCAAACTTACTCCACAAATAAGATGGTCATTCATAAGAATAGTAGTTTATATTTATTTTAAGATGAAAAGTAGAAGGAAAAGATTGCACATGGCTGAAACCACTGAGAGTTTCTTATTGTCCAAATGGATACTAACATCTGTTCTGCTTGGTGCTGGTTATTCTCGGGACTAGATGGTGCTAGACTGTTTCATGGAGCTGTAGACATAATAGAAGTATGTTCAATCCGAGCGCTTCCTATGCTTTCAGATACGAACACCAACGAGCTCCCAACTCTTCTCCACTGTGCTGCAAAGTTTGGCTTAAAGAATCTGGCTCTTCATCTGCTTCAATGTCCAGGTGCAAACTGGGCATTGAAGGTGAAAAATACAAGTGGAGCAGACCCCGCTCACATTGCTAAGAAGTACGGGCACGAAGAACTCGAGAAAATCCTTGGAGACTTTTCAGTAAGTTTTATACATATATATATATATATACACACATATATATATACACATATACATGTATACCTCAAGAGCTCTTTATGAATATGTGCGTCTACATGTGCACACACTTTTCTTCTTTGTTGAATAATTCATGGAGTTGGTAGTGCTTGGGTTGTCCATGTGTTAAAAATAATTTGCAAATTAGTCCGTTAGTCTATTACTCCAAATACCAACTCTGACTTCCATCCTGAAACATCCATGTTTCCAACTTATTTTTGGTTTCTGTGTCACCTATTTTGTACTGGAGAAGAGATAAGCAGAAAGCAATACCCCTATTCCATGTATTCTTTTGTTTAAAAGTCTAGACAAGACATTAGTAAGTGCATGAAAACAGATCAATAATTACTAGGTTAAAGGAATGCATTTTGATATTCGTTCAAAAAGTCTACCCAATAAAAAGTAAATTTATCTTGCTTAAATTTATTTCTCTTATGTTATTCTGCAAAATCTGATTGAAATCCCTAATTTTCAGAACAGTTTTGATGAATATCAGTTTTGTAAGAATGTAGGGAAGTTTTTCAAGAGAGTATTTCAGTAATTAAAACACATCTATGTTGCCATAATCAAGTATAGAGTAGCAATTACTTTCTGTTAGCAAGAAAAGTATGCATGTTTTTCTCCAGAAAATAAATTATACTTCTATGGATCTTCAGAAAGTATAATATGACAATGATTATGCTGGTGACTTTGTCAGAATTTATCTTTGGGTTCTCAGAACAGGTACAATTATATTCTCAGTGAACCCTATATATAGGGTTGTTTAAGCACTTATTTTGATATTCAGATTAAGTTGATCTAAATATGTGACTTCTAAAACAATTGGTACTTGTAATTTTTAGAAAGTGAAAGAGAATGAAACTTTGCATTTATAAGAAATAGCAAAATAATAATCAACAGATTGTGGGTATTAGTTACTCTGTGACATTGCAATAGTATGTATATTTTGTTCATATTTAAAATAAATAGAGAACATGCAGTATTGGATTAAAATTAGTTAAGTACTGATTTCTAGTTCTTGTCCTCCAAGTTAGAAGTGAGCATTGTTTTTGTTCCTCAGATGGTTTTAGACAGTGATTCTACACATGCTAATGTTTCGTTGCTCTAGTTCGTCTGATAAACTCTTTCAATTTAGTAATTTTCCATTTCTTACAGTCCATGTGGTATCCCTTGCAGGCAAGTCAGTGAATCTGCTCAGCCTTGAGCTTGTTCCTTCCCATAATACGGTCACTCAGTACATCATGGTCCCAGCTCTTTACAAACCTAACTTTTAGCCGCTGGTAGACTTAAACTTTTCCCCTAGAAGCCTCAGCAGCCAACAAATTCCTCTAACTTTCTAAAATAAACTGATTTTCAAAGAATGATTCCTCCACTTCTTGCCCTCTGGGAAAGATCGATGGATGCAGCCCCTTGTAAAGTGAGGATGCCATAAATAACGCAGTATTACACAACGGTGACAACAGATATGAAAGAAACACAAGGGTAGGAAATGACGATGGATGACATAGGAAGTAATTTTTCTCCTGCCTCTTCTGGGTATTTTCACTTCTGTTGCTGTAGTAGCAGCACTGACGTGAGCGAGTAGCTGTCGCTATCTCTGAGTGATTTTTCACCGTTCACAGGACCTTCGTCCTGACTTTGCTGAGCCGTGCACAGTCATTATTCTGCAAAATTTGTTAAGTCATTTCACTTATTTCAGCCTGAGCTGAATTGTAGAATTGTAGGCACTTGTCAGAATGGTAGACGCTGACATTGTGGAGTGGCTGGATGTCCATCTGTGAGGTTTCTGCTGCCAGTGAGGAAATGACTACAGCTTTCGCCAAGGTTAGCAGATCTGTAAATGCATTCTAATAACTGGAATTTTAGTGATTTTGCAAGCTGTGACGGGTCTTTTTGAAATGTATGGTTAACAAATAGAAACATACTAGTTCATGACACACATGGAAGTGCTTCTTATTGACTTACCTACCACATAAGTCAGCTTCATAACTAGCAATTCTCTTTAAAATAAATCTAAAAGTCGTATTTTTCATGAAGGTGTATTATACAGTCATTTGTTGTTACTATCTATTCTTAGTTATGAAAATAATATCTTGTTAATGGTGTATATAAACCTAATAGAGAAAAATCCCGCTACACTGCTAAATACTTTATTATTTTTAATGTATTTATGTTAACATAGTTTAATGTTATAGTCACATCTGCTAAGTCAAATATTTTCACATATAAATTTAAATTTTCTGTGAACCACTCCTTCAGCAGTGTTAAAAGAAGTAGATCTCTTTCAGGTTTGAAGTTTTCAGTCCATCAGTGGACCGCACTGTTTTGCTGAAGAAGTATCTGTTTTTAGCCGCAAGCCTACTTTGTCCCTGACTTAGTGATTTGTTCAATTCTTCCCAAGTGCCCAATAGTGAAGTACTGTTCCTTTTAGGGTCTCACAGCATAATCAGTGAGTTGATTCATAATGACTTAAGTGAGTAGAAAGAAAGAGCTAGTTGTGGATTTTAGAAAAATGCAGGAAAACGCTTTATCAAGTATTTATAAACCAAGGGCCACCCACAGCTAGTGAGACCCGTGCAGAGGAGAGGAGGCACAAGAGGAAAAATGTGTCTCAAGTCTCACTTCGGCCATAGCTTTGTGTCATTTGTTTTGGGGAACTTACTAATATATGCATAGCTTATGAACAGAGCCTATTTATGTCTGACATGGTAACACCTATACTTCTGTCATGTGTTTTGTACTAGACTGGTGATCCATATGTTCCCATAAGCTATAGAATCTTATAAGTACCTACTCACTTTTCAGTGTGTCACGTCTTCCCTCAACACCAATCTAGATGGACAAAGGGTGAAATTTAAATTCACAACAGGGAAGGAGCAAAATTTGGTTAACAGAATGATTGAGAAAAAGCTGGGCAATTTCAGATAGCAACACTGATGATTAATTTGGCTCTTTAAAAATGTATCTTTTAAATCATAAAAACTATAAAGAAATTGGAACTTGGCCTCACATTCAATGTATAGTGAGATTTAGCATAAAGTATATAATATCCATTATTTATACATTTTAATTTTAAAATAAAAGTATTATATCCTTCTTTTGTCTCAAGTATGTCACCCCACCATCTCCCATTGGTTTAAAATGCTAAACAGAAACGATATCAATGTATAAATAAAGAATAAGACTATATCCTCCTTGTGCTGACTTCCTTGGGGAATGATATCCAGAAAAGGTTGTTTGTTTCACTCATGTAACAATGTGAGTGCTGATAAGATATTCATTGTAAAGTTCTTCAAAAAAATTTAAGACAGGAAAAGTCATTTTCTATGTCCTTTCATTAGCTGGCTTTTGGAGAAGATTGCTGGCCCGGGGCCTTTTTATTACTCACATCTGTAAGGCATTCTTGTGACCTTTGCTTTCCTTGAGGTATCATCCAGTGTTTGTTTTTGTCAGAGGGTGGGAAGACACAGAGAGAGAGATGGAGACAGAGAGAGAGAGAGAGAGAGAGAGAGAGAGAGAGAGAGGAGACAGAGACAGAGACAGAGACAGAAGAGAAAAAGAAAGTGAAAGAGAGAGATTGGGGTTTTGGTGTCCCTTAGTGTCCCACTGATCTTTTCCAGATAATCAGGGGTTGAAGGGCTGCAGGGGGAGGGGTGGGCTGGCAGACACTGGGGGGTTCACAGACCCCTAATAGAATGATAATTGGCTGACTGGTACCAAGACCCATTGCCCAGAAGTTGGCCCTGTGTGCCCAGTGAGCGTTCCCTCACCTTGGCCCTCCCTTTCTCCCATTCTGGCATTGCCCACCATGCTCTGCCTCTACTGCTGTGCCCTCCGTCCTGCTCATTATGGGTGGGTGCTACATACTGGGGTGTAGACAGCACATCCTGTGTCGCTGAGTGAGTGCTTTCCCATTCAGAAGCACAGGGGCCCCGTGGGTAACTGGCTCCCTGCCCTCTCCCAGCCTCGGCCTCTCTGAGACTCTTGAAGGATCAGAAGCAAGTGTTCACCGTAAGTATCTGTTTGCTCTTGCTCCATAATACTCTTAATCAGGCTTCATATTGCAAATGAAATAAGTGGCCGTACTGCTTAAAAGGTTTCATTTTAGGGAAGTCATGGACAAACAGCCCAACTGTGTCTTCAGCATACATTTTTAATAGGCTGCACTGCCTTGCATGTTAGAGTTCTGGCTTGTGCTCAGTATCGCTGTTCTGTTAGAACCAGAGGACCTGGAACGAGTCACATAACTGCCCTTGGCGGGTCCGTGGCAAATTCATGTCTCCGTGATGCTGCAGGAGCTGCTTAGCAATGCCTTCCTTCCGAAATACTATTAATGGCACCACGGTGGCTGTTACAGAGTGCTTCTGTAGCCCAGTTCTCAGAGCCCGTTTTGGTACTCTACATGCAAGCCTTATAAGTCCTCTGTGAACTTGCCTGTCTCTTTTCCTTATAAAATTCTCCTTTGTCCTCTTACACAGAGCCTGGCACTCACCCAGGTCTGAATTTTAAGCCTAACTTTATGGAAAATCAAATTTGCATCATTAGGAAAAATAGTTCTTTACAGGGTATTTTTAGGATTTGAGATAATTGATAGGAAAGCATTAAAGACAAAGAAGAGTCATAAAAATGACATTACAGTCACCTTATTTCCTTTAGGTTTTTGTTACTCATGTCTAGTTTCAGTCTCACCATCCTTCATGTGTCCTTCTTTTTATCATTCATCTCTATTGTGGCCTCTTCCCTGAACATGCATATTTAAGGCACACACAGACACACTGACACACTTTATATGTTAATATTATTTAGGTGTACATAAATATGCTTTCTACATACATATATTTTTGCTTTGCATATACATATTTTATTTATGACAAGCATTTTCTCATTAGATCCTTATCTAATCTGGGTGAATAGATACTTTTACTTCTATTTTACAGATCAGGAAATTAAACCCCAAAGACGAT